CTGGTACAGTTAACAACACTGGTAGCTGGTTTCACTTTGATGTCGGTCATTTCGATATTTGTTGGGGATGGAGATTTATCTGAAAAGGCAAATAGCATAATGTATTTCTGAAGGTTTCAAATGAACATGAGAATCGATTTTATTCGACTATTATTATTGATATTTCAATATTTATTATTATATCATACTTTGAAAAATTTTAAAATTAAAAGTAATTTCACTTCGATAATCGTAAATGGGAGTTTGTAATGGTCTGATTTGGTAACGATCAATCTACCAGTGTAACCAGAAAAAGTAGAAGTTCAGACTTCATACATTGATAGATAAACAACTTCAGTTGACCAGTTCAGAGCCAAGTTCAACTCATTGTTAGAAATCACGTCCAAGAGGATTCTATAAGGGATTCATCGATTCGACTTAATATTATGTTCAGTACATTTGGAGTAAATTGATGCGAATTAAGATTGTTGAATATTTGCAATTTATTTGAAGTTTACTTTGAACATCATAATTAGACAAATATTTTCAATCAGATACTAGAAGTAAAAAGGAAAAATTCCAGTTAAACTAATAATATACACCAATAACCAGTTGCTACTCACAATCACAAACGCTCGAGGAGTCATATCCAGAAGTTCACCGATAGTAAACGCAATATCAGTCCTTGAGAGTCGATCTTGTAAATCAGTTCCCTGCAAAAACAAGAATTGATTAACTCTCCGTCTCTTTATGGATAAGTGAACCATTTTAATACATTTTATTACCTTTATAAAAGCTCTTGCACTCAACTGCAAACATCTAGTCGCCTTCCTTAGGTTTTTACAATAAGAGCTCATCTAAAAGGGAATTGATTCAAATTAAAAGATCGAGAAAACAAAACAGAAATCTTTTTATACCATCGTTAATATAACTCCATTGGTGTATGAACAAGCTCCGATGGCCGCAACGCCAATGCTAGCAACAGCCACAATGAAAAGATCCATAAATTTATCAATATGAACGAAAATCGCAATGTACATCCCGAAATCTGCAGCAGCCGAAAGTCCGATGTACAAAAATATGAGCCAGTTTCTTATATTTACATTAAGTTGTTCAACTTCATTCTGATATTGGATGATCTCACTAACAGTAGCTTTATAATGATGCAGATAGTCAACCTTATTCAGAAGCTTTCTTTTAGTCGCAAGATCCTCTGCCGTCTGGGTGACATGAGCAGCTTTAAAGTAAAAGTAAGACAAATGAATTGTTACTAGGGCACCAGGCAATATCGTGTTGTATAAAGTAGAAACAATCCCTAGGTAATTGACGAGAATCCAAATGCTATTGTAGATGAACTGAATGGATGTTTGAGGTAGTTGATTCGATGAATTAACAACGAAGATTAAGATTGGTGCAAAAGTAATCGCAATACAATAAACAATCCAAAGCCACGCATTCGCTAAATTGATGGCAACAAAACGAAACTTTTGGCAATGACTTTCATTCATGGATAAAAGTTGACTTTTGAATCCTTTTTCATATATTAAACTGTACAATTTGTAAGTTTCAAAATGACCGTTTTTAGTCAAAAATATCCAATAATGTCTTAAAATTTCACCAACAATGGAAGCATTCAGCCACATGAACCAAAAATATCGACGATTTTGCTTTCCATAGAAAAAGTCACCAAGAACAAGAAGCCATTCATTGGGAAGATCGAAGACACTCAACAATGCCAAATGAATGATATAAACACTCATTAAGCTTAAGTAGAGGATGGATTTTACTGTAGTCCATTTTGATGGGGTTACTCTTGGATCTTGGGAGAAGCCATTTGGTAAAATATTAAATGAGATGCATATTGATTCGAGTTTTTTTATCTTGCTGATTGCTTCGGCATCATTAACATCACTCGAACGAAATCCAATCACTCGGACAATCAATCTCGGTAAAGACGCAATCAAATCCTCGTTAAATCTCAACATAGCCGTTTGCTTATGCACTTGCTTCAATTCAGAAGCTTAAACTTGTGAAGATTTTTTGGCTTTCATCCTAATGAGCATTTAAATTACTGTTTAACAATTTGCATTACACAGATCAAATGTTCAAATCCGCAGTTTTTTACGGCATTTGAAAATCGCCCACGAATAAGCAAATATTGGATTTCAAAATGCGATACTTTTCTCTGTCATTTAACTAATAATGTATTCATAAACTCAAGTTATCCAATGAAATATTAAATTTGAAGATTTTCAGATCAATAAGTTTAATTGTCTTTTATTTTCTTAGCTGTCTACAAATGTCAATGGCAATCAATAAGTTCATTAATTAGAAATAAAATGTAATTTCACCGATTACTCTGAACAATTGATCATTAGACATTGTATTTAATTGCTAATCAAATTAATCGCACAATGATTGTGATTGAAAATGGCCAATGACATGCTATGATATTGAATAATGTTTGAAAATCACGCGGAATAATGACTGAATTTGGCACTAAAATGGTTAAAAAGAGTCAAATCTTTCTAGTCTTACAATTAGAAGCGAATACGATCAAATGAAAGATTCTGGTTCAACCTAGAATGGGAACTATTCAACAATGGATGGGAATTCCACTCAATTAAGAGGAAGACTTGACAGAACGTTCAAAACTGATTCCTTCATTTCGCAAGATTGTTTCTGAACAAATAAGAAGCAAAGATTTGCTGTTTAAGCGAACCTTTTTGGTAATGACTATTATTGCATTGTAATGTTCAATAAAATTGAAATTGATTGTGCATAAAAATAAAGAGTTAAGAATAGGGACTTTATGGACTTGTAGGAACATAAACTGAGTAGATAAGTGCTAAAAAGTTTCTCCGACCCACAGTTTTCGAGGAAATCGATGCCAACCTTTAAATTTCGATCCACTTTTGTGTAATAATGCAAACAGATTTTTTCATGAAACTTATTTTATTGATGTTACTTCTGATGGCCAACCAGAAAATGCACTTATTTTGAGCCATAACATTTTCTGTTTTTGTCCATTAGATCAAGTTCGATCTTAATTCAATCCTCCCGTATTCTGTGACCATGAGAATTAGAGAGCTGAAACTTATAAAAATTGTTGGCTCACATAATGAATTGAATACTAGTTTCCATTTATCATTAGTTCTCTTGATTTTGGCCATTAACCGGAAAACTTTGACCCTCAATATTTCGAGAATGGTTGCACATACACTCACCGTTTCTTCACTAATTTGAATCTTTACTAATTAATAATCTAATGCAATACAATAAATTTTCATTAGCGAATTCAGATTATGATTTTCGGGTTGTAAATGTAACAGAAACAACTTATTCAACAAAATAAACACATCTCAACCCATCTTGGTAAATAAACCATTTTTCTGGTTAAACTTCCAATGAAGATGCAAAAAGTACTGCCAAAGACACGAACATTTGAGCTAAAGGTTGAGACTTGGCGGGTTTGTAGGGACATAGAAACTGAGATCATTGGTGCTATTAAATAATTCGTTAGATGGACAGTTTTCGAGAAAATGGAGGTTAAAGTTTGAACTTCAATCGTCTTTTATTCAGCTATGGAAGCAGATTTTTCCATGATACTCATTTTACTTATGTATTTATTGATGGCTAACCAGAAAATGGGCTTATTTCGAGAAATAAAATTTTCTATTCTTGTACAACGATTCAAGTCCTATTTTTAATTAAACGTATCGAATTCTGTGATTGTAAGAGTGAGAGAACTGAAACCTATTACGTTTCGGTAAAACATGTTAGTACACATTCATGATTGAACACTTTTTTCAATTTATCACCATTTCTCTCAATTTTCGGCCATTGACCTTAAAACTTTGAGCCTCAATATTTCGCTAGTGGCATCATATACAATCATCATTCTTTGATTAAACATTAGATTGCATTATAGGCTATAACGTTATATAGCTGAATACTAAGAAAATCTGAGCTAATTAATTTCTCTGACTCTTATGGTCACAGAATGTGAAAGGTTTGAATGAAAATCGAACTAATCTGTTCTAAAAGAAATAAAAAACTTATTCCTCAATTGCATTTTCTGGTTGGCCATCGTAAGTTACATCCTTAAATTAAGTTTCATCAAAAAATATGTTTGCATGATTACCTCAAATCGAAATTCAGGCTTTGACATCAATTTGCTCGAAAACTGTTGTTCGGAGAAACTTTTTAGAAGGTCTAATGGACTCAGTTTATGTTCCTGCAAACCCACAAAGTTCCTATTCTTAACTTACAAAGGCACAGTTTTGATACTCTTTATTTGAAAGCTTTAGTGGGAACCTTAATTGCGATTTTAATTTGCAAAATCTTAATTTATGTTTTGAACCCGATTTTGCCGGTCATTCGATAGTTGTTAGAGATGGAGATTGATCTAAAAGGGCAAATATCACAATACATTTCTGAAGTTTTCAAATAAACATGAGAATCGCTGAATTAATTCGACTATTATTATTGATATTTAATTATCATACTTGAGTATTGATTCGTCTGATTTAACCAGAAAAAGTAGCAGCCCATACTTGATACTTTGATAAATAAACACATTCAGGACCTTCAGAGCGAAGTTCAACTCTTCATCAAAAATCACGTTCAAGAGGATTCTGTAGGGATTCCTCCATTTGACTTACGATTAATTAGTATCATTTTCAGTGCGTTCGGAGTTAATTAATGTGACAATGTCAAGATTGTTAAATAATTGTATCAATTTATTTGAAATTTACTTTGAACATAATGATGATAATATAATATTTACGATATCGTTAGATATAAAATCGATGCGTTCAGAGTTAATACATGAAACATTGTCAAGATTTTATAAGGGATTCCTCCATTAGACTTAATATAATTTTCAGTACATTTTGAGTTAATTAATGCGACAATGTCAAGGTTGTTGAACAATTTTTATCAATTTATTTAAAGTTTATTTTGAACATCATAATTAGACAAATATTTTCAATTAAATACTGGAAGTAGAAATGAAAGATTCCAGTTAAACTAATAATATAAACCAATGCAACCAATCAGTTGATACTTACAATTACAAATACTCGAGGAGTCATATCCAGAAGTTCACCAATAGTAAACGCTATATCAGTCCTTGAGAGTCGATCTTGTAAATCAGTTCCCTGGAAATACAGAGGTGATTCAATTATCCGTCTTTTTATGGAAATATGAACCATTTTATAATAATATTACCTTTATAAAAGCTCTTGCACTCAACTGTAAATATCTAGTCGCCTTCCTCAGGTTTTTACAATAAGAGCTCATCTGTTAATAAAAGGCAATTGAATCAAATTAAAAGACCGAAAAAACACAACAAAAATCCTTTTATACCATCGTTAATATAACTCCATTGGTGTATGAACAAGCCCCGATGGCTACAACGCCAAGGCTTGTAACAATTACAACGAAAAGGTCCATAAATCGATCAATGTGAACAAAGATTGCAATGAACATCCCAAAATCTGCAGCAGCCGAAAGTCCGATGTACAGAAATATGAGCCAGTTTCTTATGTTTACATTTAGTTGTTCAATTTCATTTTGATATTGGATGATCTCACTAACAGTAGCTTTATAATGATGCAGATAGTCAACCTTATTCAAAAGCTTTCTTTCAGTCGCAAGACCCTCTGCCGTCTGGGTGACATGAGCAGCTTTGAAGTAAAAGTAAGACAAATGCACTGTTACTAGAGCACCGGGTAATATCGTGTTATATAAAGTAGAAACTATTCCTAGGTAATTGACCAAAATCCAAAAACTGTTGTAGATGAACTGAATGGATGTTTGAGGTAGTTGATTCGAAGAATTAACAACGAAGATTAAGATTGGTGCAAAAGTAATCGCAATACAATAAACAATCCAAAGCCACGCATTCGCTAAATTGATGGCAACAAAGCGAAACTTTTGGCAATAACATTGATTCATGGATAAAAGTTGACTTTTGAATCCTTTTTCATATATTAAACTGTACAATTTGTAAGTTTCAAAATGACCATTTTTAAACAAAAATATCCAATAATGTCTTAAAATTTCACCAACAATGGAGATATTGAGCCAAATAAACCAAAAATATCGACCATTTTTCTGACCATAGAAAAAGTCACCAAGAACAAGAAGCCATTCATCAGGCAGATCGAAGACACTCAATAATGCCAAATGAATGATATGAACAGTCATTAGGCTGAAGTAGAGGATGGATTTTGTTGTAGTCCATCTTGATGGGGTTACTCTTGGATCTTGGGAGAATCCATTTGGTAAAATATTGAATGAGATGCATATTGATTCGAGTTTCTTTATCTTGCTAATTGCTTCGGCATCATTAACATCACTTGAACGAAATCCAATCACACGGATAATCAATCTCGGTAAATACGCAGTTAGAATTTTATTCACTTTCAAAATGGCCGATAGCTTCATCAGTGGTTTAATTTTAGATTTGATAACTTGTAAAGACTTTTTGGTTTTCATAAAAATGAGATTTCAAATTAACGAAAGCTCATTAAACATATCAAATGCTCTGCTTTCCTTCACAGCAGTTAAAAATCACTTAATAATATTGAAATATTGAATTTCAAAATGTGATACTTTTCTCTGCCGTTTTATGTCAAACTCGAGTAATAAGGATGAAATATTAAGTTTGAAGATTTCCAAATCAATAAGTTATTTAGTTTCATTGTCTTCCCTGTTTAAAAGTGTCAATGGCAATCAATAAGTTCATTAATTAGTTAGAAATAAATTGTGTAATTTTACCCATTACTCAGTACAATTGATCATTAGACATTTTAACCGCCGATCAAATTAATCGCACAACTATTGAAAATGGCCGATGACATGCTATGCTATTGAATAATTAAGAGTAAAGTCGTTAAATTGAAATTAGAACATTAATTGGTAATAGATCTTAGCGACAGATTATCTGAGGAGATCAGAAACTATAATAATGACAAAGCCAAAAAAACTATTAGAATAATGACTAAACTTGGCACTAAAATGGTCAAAAAGAGTTGAATCTTTCTGGTCTTACAATTTGCAGCAATACGATCAATTGAAAGATTCTGGTTCAACCTAAAAGTGAAAATATTGAACAATGGATGGGAATTGCACTCAATTAAGAGGAAGATTTCACAGAACATTCAAAACTGATTTCTCTATGTTGCAAGATTGTTTCTGAACGACTAACAAGAATAGATTTGCTGTTTGAGTGAAACTTTTTGGTTATGACTATTATTGCATTGTAAGACTCGATGAAACTGAAAGGGGTTGAGCCGTAAAATTGACTTTCGAGTTAAGAATAGGGATTTTGTGGGTTTGTAGAAACATAAACTGAATCCATTAGTGCTTTTAAAAAGTTTCTCCAATTCTCAGATTTCGAGGAAATCGATGTCAACGTTTAAACAGACCAGAAGCTGAAAATATGCCGGCAAAGTCCGAGACACTCAAAGTTCAACATTATACAATGAAAAAATGAATTACTAAACAACCATACAAAAAGACACAACTCGTGGGGCTCCCTGATTCAGAAACAAATTGTTAAATGTTCAGAACAATCTTCAAAAACAGAAAATCGGTTACAGATTTTCTGTGAATTTCTTTTTGAAGTGAAATTCATTAATCATTAATGCATCATTCAAGTATTGCATAATTTTAATCCAAACCAGTAAGGTAGATGTTTGCATCAATTGATATTGTCAGTTACCTATTAATATTAAGTTACAAATCAGAGTTACCTCTATTATCATATAACAATTTTAGACGATATCTAATGGAAAGTTATTCAGGTAATTGTTTTAAGCTCAAAGTTTACTTTTCCCTGTAAAGGAACTTGATCAACTACCATTGATTACGATTTTATCTTCATGATGCTTTCAGGTGTTATTGTAGCAGTACTTGTATATCAACAATCAAAATCAGATGAAATCATCACCCAATCAACGAAATATTGTGAAACCGAGCTCGTGTTTAAATTTGTCACTTCGATGTCATATCAATAATCAGTGAGGTATTAATTATTTGAAGCCGATTCTCTGATTTTACTGGAAATGTTTAAATTTTGAAACCATTTTTTTAACTTTGTTTCCTCTGTTAGTTGCTGAAATTTTGACAATTTAATTTTGCTTTTTCCCAAAGTGAAGCACATCTTTAAAGAAGAACTGAAATAAAATGAGTTTGTTAGAAGTGCGAATCTTTGTTATGATACTTCTTTTTGGACTTACTATGCTGATTGGCTATGGACCAGTTTTCTTATTCCATTTATGGCAGAAAAAAAGAGGAACTTTGCTCCTTCCAGATCAAGATTTATCGTCCAAACACGCAAAAATATTGCACTTACTATTAGTCTTTGGTGGTGGTGTCTTATTGGCAACTTGTTTCGTTCACATGATTCCAGAAATTACAGAAAACTATGAATCTTTCATGTCGAGGAAAAACAATGGATCATCGGAAAATGAAGGTCTACTTGGCGATGACGAGAAAAAAGACAAAGTTCCTTGGGTCGAAATATGTGTCTGCATTGGACTTTTTATAACCTACTTAATTGATACGTCAGTTGTTATGGCCATTGAGAAGAGTACATCTCATCAGCAACGAAATGAAATGAATTTGCCTGAAAACAATTTAGACAATGAAAACGAAGATTCTGGTGCTAATGTGCAGATTTTAAGTTATCGAACACGATTTTTTAAAGGTTTAATCATTGTCATTGCCTTTTTAGCCCATTCCATTTTTGATGGAGTCGCTATTGGTTTACAGTCTACTACAACATCTATCTGGACCGTCTTTTTTGCAATCTGTTTGCACAAATTCGTAGTTGTGTTTGCCATTGGTTTTGAACTGTTTCAGAAAACTGCTAGCCTGACATTGACCTGTATCCATTTGGCCATTTTTTCCGCCACATCACCTTTTGGAATCCTTTTGACACTTATATTGGAGCAAGATGGTCTGGCTGAAGATGGAAGTTTAACTATCATTTTGTTCAGTGCCATTGCTACTGGAGCCATTTTGTACATTGTATTTCTTGAAATCCTACGAACCGAACCACCTGCAGGGATTAATGGCCTAGTACACTTAACAACACTGGTAGCTGGTTTCACTTTGATGTCAGTCATTTCAATAGTTGTTGGAGATGGTGATTGATCTGAAAAGGCAAATATCACAATATATTTCTGAAGGTTTCAAATAAACATGTGAATCGATTTTATTCGACTATTATTATTGATATTTCAATATTTTATCATCATACTTTGAAAAGTATTGATTCGTGTGACTTGGTAACAATCAATCTTTACCTGTATAACCAGAAAAAGTAGCAGCCCATACTTCATACTTAATTAACAACCTTCAGTGGACAAATTCAGAGCGAAGTTCAACTTGTCGTTAAAAATGACGTCCAAAAGGATTCCTCCATTAGACTTGTTATAATTTTCAGTGCATTTGGAGTTAATTAATGCGAACATGTCAAGATTGTTGAACAATTTTTTTTAATTTATTGAAAGTTTACTGCGAACATCATGATGAGGCAAATATTTTCAATTACATACTAGAAGTAGAAATGAAAAACTCTAGTTAAACTAATAATATAAAACAATAATCAGTTGATACTCACAATCACAAAAACTTCAGAAGTCATATTCAGAAATTCACCGATAGTAAACGCTATATCAGTCCTTGAGAGTCGATCTTGTAAGTCAGAGCCCTGGAAATCAAGAGTTAATTCAATTATCCGTCTTTTTATGGAGAGATGAATCATTTTGATATTACCTTTATAAAAACTCTTGCACTCAACTGCAAGCCTCTGTTCGCCTTCCTTAGGTTTTTACAATAAGAGCTCATCTAAAAGGAGAAATTGAATTAAATTAAAAGACCGAGAAACCAAAACAGAAATCCTTTTATACCATCGTTAATATAACTCCATTAGTGTATGAACAAGCCGCGATGGCTGCAACGGCAACGCTAGTAACATACACAAGGAAAAGGTCCAAATATCGATCAATGTGAACAAAGATTGCAATGTACATCCCAAAATCTGAAGCAGCCGAAATTCCGAAGTACAAAAATATGAGCCAATTTCTTATGTTTCCGTTAAGTTGTTCAATTTCATTCTGATACTGGATAATCTTACTAACAGTAGCTTTATAATGAAACATATAGACAGCCTTATTCAGATGCCCTCTTCTAGTCGCAAGACTCTCTGCGGTCTGGGCTACATGAGCAGCTTTAAAGTAAAAGTAAGATAAATGAATTGTGATTACAGTACCAGGCAATATCGTGTTGTATAAAGTAGTAACAATTCCTATGTAATTGACGAAGATCCAAAAGCTATTGTAGATGAACTGAATGGATGTTTGAGGTAGTTGATTCGTTGAATTAACAACGAAAATTAAGATTGGTCCAAAACTAATCGCGATACAATAAACAACCCAAAGCCAAGCATTCGCTAAATTGCTGGCAACAAAGCGAAACTTTTGGCAGTAAAATTCATTAAAGGATAAAAGTTGACTTTTGAATCCTTTTTTATATATTAAACTGTACAATTTCCAAGTTGTAAAATGACCGTTTTTAAACAAAAATATCCAATAATGTCTTAAAATTTCACCAACAATTGAAGCATTTAGCCATATAAACTAAAAATATCGACCATTTTTCTGGCCATAAAAAAAGTCGCCAAGAACAAAAAGCCATTCATCTGGCAGATCAAAGACACTCAACAATGCCAAACGAATGATATAAGTACTCATTAGGCTGTAGTAGAAGATGGATTTTGTTGTAGTCCATTTTGATGGGGTTACTTTTGGATCTTGGGAGAAGCCATTTGGTAAAATATTAAATGACATGCAAAATGATTCGAGTTTTTTTATCTTGCTGATTGCTTCGGCATCATTAACATCACTCGAATAAAACCCCATTAAACGGACAATCAATCTTGGTATGAACGCAATCAAATTTCCTAACATAGCCATTTGCTTAGGCCCTTGCTTCAATATTTAAAATTGTTAAGAGTTTTTGGTTTTCATCGAAATGATACTTTGCATTACTGTTTAATAAATCTCATTACACAGATCAAATGTTTACATTATCAGTTTTCCTTTACGCCATTTGAAAATCACTTACGAATATGCAAATATTGAATTTAAAAAAGCGATACTTTTTTCTGTCATTTAACTAATAATGTATTCATAAACTCAAGTGATTCAATAAAATATTAAATTTGAAGATTTATAAATCAATAAGTTTAATTGTCTTGCATTTTCTTAACTGTCTAAAAATGTCAATGGTAATCATTAAGTTCATTGATTATATAATAAATAAAATGCGCTATTTTACCGATTACTCAGAACACTTGATCATTAGACATTTCATTCAATCGCTCATCAAATTAGTCGCACAATGATTGTGATTGAAAATGGTTGCTCACATGCTATGCTATTGAATAATGCAAGACTAATTCAAAGTGAAGTCGTTAAATTGAAATCAGATCATTAATTCGTAATAGATCTTAGCAGCGAAAGTTCATCTGAGGAGATCAGAAGCTATAATAATGATATAGCCAAAAAAACTATTAGAATAATGACTAAATTTGGCACCAAAATGGTTGAAAAGAGTTGAATCTTTCTGGTCTTACAATTTGCAGCGAATACGATCAATTGAAAGAATCGAGTTTCTGTAGATCAAGTTCGATTTTCATTGAAACCTTGCGCATTCTGTGACTAAAAGGATTAGAGAGCTGAAACTTGTTGTTAGTCGATAAAAATTGTTGATACACTTCATGGATTGAATACTTTTTTCAATTTATCAATAGTTCTCTTCATTTTGGCCATTGGCCTTAAAACTTTCTGCCTCGATATTTCGAGAGTGGCATCATTCTTTCACCAATCCAATCCTTTGCTTATTGATAATTCAATTCAGCTCAATAACTATCTATTATCAGATTTGTGTCATGATTTTTGAGCTCTAAATGCACGAGCAGCAACTTATTCAACAAACTAACTCATCTCACCCATTTTTTGGTAAATAAACCAATTTTCTGGTTACACTTGTCTAGACTGTTCTGGTCAATCCATGAAGTTCACCAACAATTTTTATCGACTAATAACAAATTTCAGCTCTCTAATCATTCTAGTCACAGAATGGGGAGATTTGAATGAAAATCGAACTGATCTGTTCTAAAAGAAACTGAAAACTTCTGAAACAAGTGCATTTGCTGGTTGACCATCAATAAGTTTCTCAAAAAAATTCTGGTTGCAACACAACAGCTTCTGGTCTGTTTAAACTTTGATATCGCTTTCCTCGAAAACTGTTGGTCGGATTAACTTTTTAAAAGAACTAATGGGGTCAGTTTATGTTCCTACAAACTTCCAAATTACCTATTCTTAACTCGAAATGTACAATTTCTGCTACCACTTGATTATTTGAAAGCATTAGTTAAATTATAATTGCCTTGTTAATTTCAAAAATCCTATCAGTTTGAAATCTTAATTTATATTTGATGTTTTGAACCCAATTTTGACAAAGATTGTCCAACAGAAAAATAATTCAATAAACCAATCAATTATTCCCTAAAGTCGGCATCATCAACTCAGCAGCCGATATCAACTTTTACTTCGGCTTAAAATTCTCTAAGAATGATTTTACATCCCAAAATGAATATTATTGATTTAACAAAAGCTAAAGACTCCAGCTTTTGGATTTTGTATTCTCAAGATGACTTCTCAATTGACAATTTGAGCATTTTTGATAGAATGCATTGTGCTCAGTGAAATTGAATTTGCGATTGCAGTTGCCTCTAGCTGAAATTAATGGAGAATCAGATTGAATTGGAAGAAAAGGCCTGTTATTACAAGAAACTATGGCTAAATTTTTATACGATAACCAGCATAAATTGACGGAGGGTTTGAAAAAAGCCTTTTGACTCGTCTTATTTGGTAACAATCAATCTTTACCTATGTAACCAGAAAAAGTAGCAGCCCATACTTCATACTCTGCTAAATAAACACCTTCAGGACCTTCAGTTCAACTCGTCATTAAAAATCACGTCCAAGAGGATTCTGTAAGGGATTCCTCCTTATGATTTATTATTATAATTTTTCAGTACATTTGGAGTTAATTAATGCGACAGTGTCAAGATTGTTAAACAATTTTTATTAATTTATTGCAAGTTTACTTTGAACATCATAATTAGACAAATATTTTCAATTAGAAACTGGAAGTAAAAAGGAAAAAGACCATTAAACTATTAATATAAACCAATGCAACCAATCAGTTGATACTCACAATCACAAAGACTCGAGGAGTCATATCCAGAATTTCACCGACAGTAAACGCTATGTCAGTCCTTGAGAGTCGATCTTGCAAATCATTTCCCTGCAAAAACAAGAGTTAATTCAATTATCTGTCTTTTTATGGGAATATGAAACATTTTATAATAATATTACCTTTATAGAAGCTCTTGCACTCAACTGTAAATATCTAGTCGCCTTCCTTAGGTTTTTACAATAAGAGCTCATCTAAAAGGTAAATTGAATCAAATTAAAAGACCGAGACAACAGAACAGAAATCAATTTTATACCATCGTTAATATAACTCCATTGATGTATGAACAAACTCCGACAGCTACAACGCCAGTAGTCGCAACAATCATAATGAAAATGTCCATAAATTGATCAATGTGAACAAAGATTGCAATGTACATCCCTAAATCTGCAGCAGCCGAAAGTCCAATGTACCCAATTATGATCCAGTTTCTTATTTTTAAATTTATTTGTTCAACTTCATTCTGATATTGGATGATCTCATTAACAGTAGCTTTATAATGAAACATATAGTCGCGCTTATTCAAAAGCCTTCTTTCAGTCGCAAGTTCCTCTGCGGTCCGGGCTACATGAGCAGCTTTCAAGTAAAAGTAAGAGCAATGAAAGGTTACTACAGAAGCAGTCAGAGCCATGTTGCATAAAGTAAAAACAATTCCTAAGTAACTGACGAGAATCCAAAAGCTATTGTAGATGAACTGAATGGATGTTTGCGGTAGCTGATTCGTTGAATTAACAAAGAAGATTAAGATTGGTCCGAAAGTAATCACAATAAAATAAACAAGCCAAAGCCACGCATTTGCTAAATTACTGACAGCAAAACGAAACTTTTGGCAGTAAAATGTATTGAAGGATACAAGTTGACTCTTGAATCCTTTCTCATATATTAAACTGTACAATTTAAAAGTTGTGAAATGCCCGTTTTTCATCAAATATATCCAATAATGTCTTAAAGTTTCACCAACAATGGAAGCATACATCCAAGCAAACCAAAAATATCGACCATTTTTCTGACCATAGAAAAAGTCACCAAGAACAAGAAGCCATTCATCAGGCAGATCGAAGATACTCAACAGTGCCAAATGAATGATATGAACAGTCATTATGCTGGAGTAGAAGATGGATTTTGTTGTAGTCCATTTTGATGGAGTTACGTTCTGGTCTTGGGAGAAGCCATTCGGTAAAATATTGAATGAAATGCATACTGATTCGAGTTTTTTCATCTTGCTGATTGCTTCGGCATCGTCAACATCACTTGAATGAAATCCAATAAAACGGACAATAAATCTCGGGAAAGACGCAGTTAGAAGCTTATTCACTCTTATCATGGCCGTTGGCTTTACCAGTGGCATCATTTTAGAAACTTTTATTGTTGTTATTATTGTATAGACTTTTTGGTTTTCATAAAAATGAGATTTTAAATTAACGAAAGCTCATTAAACATATCAAATGCTCTGCTTTTCTTCACGGAATTTGAAAATCACTTAATAAAATTGAAATATTGAATTTCAAAATGTGATACTTTCCTCTGTGCTTTCATGTCAACAACAATGAAATATTAAGATTGAAAATTTCCAAATCAATAAATTATTTAGTTATTATTGTCTTCACATTTTAAAAGTTTCAATGACAATCAATAAGTTCATTGATTATAAATGTAAAGCGTAATTTTACCGATTACTCAAAACAATTTATCATTAGACACTTTAATCGCCAATAAAATTAATCGCACAACTATTGAAAATGGTTGATGACATGCTATGCTATTGAATAATTAAGAGTAAAGTCGTTAAATTGAAATTAGACCATTAATTGGTAATAGATCTTAGCGACAGATTATCTTAGGAGATCAGAAACTTTAATAATGACAAAGCCAAAAAAACTATTAGAATGATGACTGAACTTGGCACTAAAATGGTTAAAAAGAGTTGAATCTTTCTGGTCTTACAATTTGCAGCGAATACGATCAATTGAAAGATTCTGGTTCAACCTAAAAGTGAAAATATTGAACAATGGATGGGAATTGCACTCAATTAAGAGGAAGATTTCACAGAACATTCAAAACTGATTCCTCTATTTTGCAAGATTGTTTCTGAACGACTAACAAGAATAGATTTGCTGTGCGAGTTAACCTGTATCTGTTTGCACAAATTCGTAGTTGTGTTTGCCATTGGTTTTGAACTGTTTCAGAAAGCTTCTAGCTAACATTGACCTGTATTCATTTGGCCATTTTTTCCGCCACATACTTTGATAAACAAACACCTTCAGGACCTTCAGTTCAACTCGTCATCACGTCCAAAAGGATTCTGTAAGGGAT